ATGTTCGAGTTAGTTTAATGTTACAATTCTTAATACTATACGTCACATAATAGAAGATAGCCAAGAAAATATATTGATGACAATTCATGGCATACATGCCAAACAGATCATAGTGACATACACGGTTATATTCTAAAATATTACATGCCGCAGTTACGTGCAAAAAGGCATCGTCGATTTCAAAAAGAGCATGTCTAGTTACATTAAAAGATGTACAAAGATCTCAAAAGGTTCATAGGATACTAAGTCATACGATATGTTTTTTAGTCCAACATCTACTTCAATCGATCCGGATAGTGAACACGATATGGAAAAGAGGTCTCGACTCTTCACTCGCCTAGAGCACCAACCGACGCGGCTCGTGCGATCTTACGATCCAAATGCAAGGGTAGTCTCCAGTTATACATTAATCTCATCGTGGTTCGCCTAACTTCGTATTGGCAAGAAGGCACGTATCACATTATGATAAGAATATCGCTCTATTGTGCTCTCCCTCACAATATCTAGTAATTGTTGGTCTCGTAGCTATAGAGTCCGATGCGTGGTTAGTATCGAGACCTAGTATTATAGTATAAATCATAGGAAGCATCGGTGAACATTATTCGTTGAATCAAGTAATGGACTCGGAGCACATGGGCCACCAAATCTTGATATGGGGCCATGGTGAGGCTATTTAGTTTAACCTAATATGCAACAAGAGCAGACTCGTTATTGGCGAGTCTTGGGGACTTATGGTACACGATACACTTTCAACATCTACAAGGTCAAAGCTTACCATTAACCATCTTTCCAAGCAATAGTAATATGATACAAACCATACAATAAACATTCACATTCATTAAAAACCAAGAAGTTGAATTTACTTATTGAGTAGCGCACCGGTTCTCGTGCTCATGTGACACTTAAGTTTCTACCCGAATAACTAAACCAAAGCTTTGATACCACCTCCGTAAGTGCCGCTAGCTCCCTTATCGATTACCTAAAAGGTGTGGTCGGGTGCACCATAGTTTAGAGATCGAAGTCTCAAATTTAATCTCATACACATATACAATATATTGAATATCATTACAAAAATTATAAAATATAATTTAGAATAAAAAATAGATCATATAATTTTTGCATCACACATGAGCCTTTTTCCGGAAGGAACCGGCAGCTTCATTATCGGCATTAGTATCACCTTTACTTGTCATGGCATAAAATAAACACAAAGTGAGTCGAAGCTCGGTAAGTAGGGTGATGAACATGATATGTAATGATTTTCTCGACTTCCTCCACTTTGACTCATCCAATTTTAATTTTGGGTACCCCGACTATTAACAAGTCCACTCTATTTTTAATCTAGGTGATCCATAGATCACCTTCTGCTATAACAAAATTATCCCTCCTTGTAGCCACTATTAGCGGAAATCCAATGTATAGCTACGTTAAGTAAGTTCATGGGAGTTACACCGTCACTAATTTTAGCGAAGGATTTTGGAATCGTCGTTAACTTTAGGCCATTTTTGGGGAATTTCCTCCCAAAAAGGCACAAATTAGTGACGAGACTTGATGTCCGTCACTAATTAAGGACGGACTCGAAGTCCGTCACTAATTTTAGTGATGGATTTTGGAATCCGTCGCTAACTTTGGGTCATTTTGGGGAATTCCCCTCGAAAAAGGCATAAATTAGCAACGAACTTGAAGTCCGTCACTAATTTTGGGCCATTTTGGAGAAATTTTTCCTCAAAAAGGCACAAATTAATGATGGACTTGATGTCCATCCCTAATTAGCGATGAATTTGAAGTCCGTTACTAATTTTTTCATTTAGAGACCACAAAGACATCACTAATCCGTCGCTAATTTTAATGTTTTTTTTTCGTCTTATTTAGCAACGATTTTTTTACCATCGCTAATTAACCCTCGTTAATCCGTCACTAATCCATCGTAAAACACAACCTTTTATAGTTCGTCCGTAATTCGTCGCTAATTTATCACTAATTGGTATTTTTCCGATAGTGAGAATGACAAACTCATTTAAAATCTTTCAATATTGATCAATTTTCAAAACATGTCGTGCAAATACTAAGAGGGAATCCCTTTTTTAAAAAAACTAAAAACATTCCTCTCCTATTCCCGAAAAATCCTTCCAAGACGGTATTGCTTAAGATATTACATAGATACCTATGATGAAAAATAAATAATTTTATGTTTTAAATGTTGATGAGTGGTGCACATTCGAGTCATAATCCCTTCTTATCCACCACTTTTTTCTCTATAAATCAATCATAGTTTTCAAATAAAATTAAAACTTATCAACTCGAACAAGATCAAATTTTGGATGAAGAAAGGCTTTTTTTGGAATACCTTTTTTACAAATAAAAATTTATCCTTTGTTGTCTCATTTTGAGCTTTAAAGATTTTTTTCAATGATGACCTAAACTAGGATCACTCGTCATAATGGAGGAAATTTTGAAGTTCATAAATAATCAAGTATGTTCTCTTACAAAATAAAAAGGGAAATAAGGATCTTGTCGAGAAAACCCTAAAATAACTTTGAAAGAAAAGTGGTCCTTAAGACTAAGATGCATCGTCTTAAAGATGTATCGTTTTAAAGATCTTAAATGATATTTCCAACGTGACGAGCCCCACATTGAGATTAATGCCTACAAGAAATATTGTACTCTTTTTCCTTCATTATGATTTTTTCCCGAATAATGAATGTTTATTTCATATTCCCACTACTTATGTGATTCAATTCACCATTCAATATGAGAAATTGAAAGTATGATATAATTTATTCAATTATTTATGCATCTTTTAATGGTTCATAGTTCCTTCTAATTCTCTTCCTAATCTTAAAGCTTATAAATATGCTTGATTGTTCATTAATTTATGTACAAGTATTTTGTAGAAATTGAGATATTATTTGGAGTTGTTATCTCTTGTATTGATTTTATCATATAGTGAATTCATTTTTCTATCATCTTTCTCTTCAATTATGCTATTGTTATTATTTCTTTCATAACAATTAGTCATTATTTTCTCTATTTTTTCAATTAGTTAATGAAAGTTAATTAAAATAATAAGGTTTTTTTTTTCATTTACTTAATTAAAATTCAGGTTAGAGACTTTTTTTTTCCCATTTTGTTAGTCAAAACTTCCACGTGACAATTTAAAAAGTCACGTAATAGATGTTATCGGCCATGTCAATAAAAATTGGTCTTAGGTGACTTTAGACACTAAAAAAAAAAAAAATCAAAACTTAGGTAGTAAAATAAAAAAATAAAATAAAATTGATTAGGTACAAAAAACGTAGTTATCTTTTTTGAGTTTTGAGACAAGGAGTGACTAAGAGAAAGAAAGTGAGGAATGGGCGAGTACTGGAGCTTGGTTAAAGGTGTGTGTCTGAAAGTTAAAGGGAATGTTCCTTAACTTAGGGTTTGTTTGGTTCTTTTGTCTTTTAATATATATATAGTACTTTTGTTAAAACCAAAATTAAAAATTTTTAAATCGAACTGAATTTCAGTTTTTAAAAAATGAAAATTGATATTTATGTTTGATTAATCAATTTTAACTGAATACTGCTCGCTTCTAAATAGATAGATTTTTTTTTTTTTTTTGGTAAATGGGATACAATTGCAGAGTGAGTGTAAATTATGTGTTTTGGATATGGCTTCGAGTAGGTGTGAGAAAAAAAAAAGAGATTTTTTAGAATGTTTTGTGGGTAGGAGACAAGGAAAAAAATGCAAAAAAAAAAAAAACAAGAAAAAAAAGAAGAGAAATAATGGCAAATGATGAAACCATGTCATTTTATCCTTGGTCAGTTATACACACACACACACGTAAGAAAAAACCGTTTGTATAAGTTCAAATTTTTTCATCCCTCATTTTCTTAGTTGTTTCTACTTTGGTCCTAGCCTTTTTATGTTGTCTCATTATTTATTACAGTCCTTTGACTTTTTAATTTTTTTATATTGTATACCCAATCATCATTTTTCTTTCCTTTTTCTTCTTCTTTTTCTATGTTTTTTTGTTCCTCATTTTTTTTTTTTTATTATCTTCCAATTTTGCCTGTCTTTTTTACCCTTCTTTTTTCCTTTTTATTCTGTTATTTTTTCTTTTAACTTTCTTTTTTTCAATTTCATCCTTATTTTTCCTTTTCAACTGCTTTCCCAAAAATTAAGAAAAATACCGACATGATTTAAAGTCATGAAAATTTATAAAATAAATAGAAATTGCAAAAAAAGAAACCCAAAGATTTTTTTTTTTTTTGAATAAATGAATTTATTTTGAAATTTTAAAAAATAAAAAACAGATAAAGTAACAAGAAATTGTAAAACAATCATGCTTTTTTTTTGTTGGAATTTTTGAGATAATGAATTTATTTTGAAATTTTAAGGGATTAAAAACATATTATAAAAGTACACACGCAGAGAGTAGTAAAGAACACCATGGATCTAGTAGTACTAAAATAGGATCCCCCATCCAAGATGAAATGATCTTCTGCAAACAATCTCATTTACCGCACCAAATAGTTCATCATCAAAAAGCCGTCCAGAAATCCTAGATGGTAGCATTGATTATTTATAAGTTTGCTTAAAATGATGCGGAGAGCGAGATAGCAAGTCGGTCATTTACTGCTTCGGAAAAAAGAGAGCCATGGAGAAGAAAACACATTCTTTCATCGATGCTGTGCTGTGTCGACCACCCACATTACTTCAAAATACACAACCAATGCTCTTTACCCACCCATAATTAAAAGAAACTGTTAAAAATATAGGTGTAAGTCCACGATCCCCCACCCCAACAGAGGATATGCTCATGAGAAACTTCACAATTTGGATCTAAGGATGGAGTACGTGGTACCCCAAAATCAACAGGTGCCAGCAGCACCTGTTCAGATATCTATGGAAGAGATTCTACTGGTATCAAAGGCCCCCCACAAAAATAATAATAATAATTGAGAAAAACACACCCCGACAATTACAAAGAACCAGCAGCCACTGTGTTTACTCAATTACAAGTATTGTTCGTGTATCCTGGCTCGGTTCTCTTCCCACCACACTCTTGCATGCATCTCCCCAAATCTTTCTCGGCTGCAATGCATATGCATGCATACAACAAGAATACTCATTAAATACAATAACAAGTTTTTTGTCTTCAAAAAAAAAAAAAGAAAAAGAAAAAGAAAAAAACATAAAAAAAGTGGTAGAAGCTTATATTTTGGGCGAATGATTCATGCTAAATGTATACTGTGGTCAGCAACAAAAACGATTAGGGAAAGCACCATGATGGACTGCAGTCAATTTTTCTAAGGGTTATCAATTCTAGTAATAATTGAAAATAAGCAGCATGATGGACTTTTTCTTAGAGCATTCCTAGTGGGGGTGCAATGATTGTTTGTCTCTAAAACAGTCCCGTTGTTAAAGGGGAAAATACAGCCAGCTTATGAGAAAATCTATCCTCAGATACTCAATAGTCCCTCTTCCTACATCACAAAATTATGGAACTGTGGCCCCGATGCCTAAATCAGAAATGCAGTACAGTGGCCATCATTCATGAAAAAACTTAAAATTATCAAATAACTGTGATGTAGCTAACTGATCAAATGGTTCCTACTACACAGTAAGAGCTTTTAAAGAAGGTTCGAACTTAAAGTTATATGACCTAAACTAATTTTTTTTTCCTACATCTAAAAGACCTGTTTCTCAAATGCAGTACTATTCATACATGTAACTCACCTGTCATAACGATCTGACGGTATTGAAACTAAGAAATATCTATATATGATCAAATCACTCTAGATTCTGGTCAGAAAGTTGCAATAATACCCTATGATGTAACCTCTAGGTCAGTAATCAGTTAATGAACCCAAAATGAATCATATTTTCCAAGACGCAAAGCCACCAGGCTGTGAATAATTTCCTGGCAATGCTGACAGCCTATATGAACGTGCTTGCATAGTTGTCTCTTTTTCCAACATGGCTCCTGATTGATCTTTCCAGGTGTTATGCTTTCTGAGCAACTATCAATTCAACCAAGGAATACGCACATAATCTTACCTGAATCTGACTCGTCTGAGCTCTCTTTTGCCACCAGGCAAGGCTCTGATGGTGATGTAAACACCTGGTTCATCCTGCTCAACCCATTCGGTCTCCATATCACTGGCATTGCTGATGGAAAGCTCTCCTGAGCGATCAGCCTCCCTTGATGAGCTACTTCTTATAGATGCATCCATTGACGATGTTTCTGTCTTAGCTCCACTGATGCTGGAGAGTTTTGGGGTCGAGGTGAGACCAATAGAGTCACAGTAATGACGGGCTTGCATTGGGTGATGGTCAAGCGAATCTGAGGATGAGTACCCCATTCCCATCCCTGTTGGACGATACAAGTTACGAGGTAGCCGTTCTCTATTCAGTGGTGGTGTGACGGGGCTGTCTTCTGCAGATTCCATCTTTGTGCTCTGCAACAAGGTTTAGAAATGACATGGTTAGAGATCATTTGGAGTTGGCATAACTCACTTTCCAGTATAATAACACTAGATATTACCATATTGTGCAAGGTCATTCAATGGAAAAGGTGGTGTTGTCCTAGTGTAAGTTTATTTGTTTAAACTGCACGTTGTTGCATCCAATTCATGCGAAATTGTGATTTCGAAACCTACTTGATAATGTGAAAACGCTATACTCAGAATGAACATGCCGTTAGTTGACAATAAGGAAGGTACTCACCTCATCCTCGGATCTTGGGGGCGTAGGAAGCGGAAATGCTAGGCGGTTGAACCTCTGGACATTGTAAAGCTCCATGATCCTGTCGTAGTTCTCTGCCCACCATCTTTGAGCTTGCCACTTGTTAAACATGTCTCGACTAATCAAAGAATTATGATGGACACACGGAATTAGTGTTGGCATCAAATGATTTGGCACATGCCATGCAATTGGTAAGGCTAAATCAAGAGTATATTATGCAGCGATTGAGCAAAATATAAGGTGAAATCCTTCATGGGCATGAGGTTTCATATTTACTATAACGAAAAGTGCTATTATCAGGATTATGTGACGAGATGAAATTTCCCTAAGGCTTAATATAGTCCTGTAACATTTTACAAATAGAATAATCGGTGAGTCTACATCATGCTATACTTTCAAGCATCGAACCTGCCATCAATTAGTCTTATATTTAAACTTGGTGGTATTAATTATCTAGGCCACTAAATTGGACACCACGTACTTTTTGACACAAAAGGATATACTACTTATTTTAAGAGCACTAAAAAGATGGCAAAATCTAACCTTCGGTGCTTAAAATACAATGTTAGGTAGCAACATGATTGAAGTAGAGTGTCTAATCAGTCAAAAATTGTGGCTACTTTTCATCAAGAGAGAGAGGGGGAGTGTTTAAACCCAATCCAGTGGTAATATTACTGGACAAGACAAAGCAACAAGAAGAGTTAATGGGATTAAGACCAGTGTGTTTCGCGATAAGAAAGTCAAAAAAGGATAAAAGAATCATTCAAGAAGAATACACAGCAAGTCAAATGTAAGGGTGTGGTCATCAAAGAGAGACAACTACAGTGTAACCATCAAAAGTAATGACCAAGGGAAAATTCTATTTCGATGTCCTATGCTAACCAAGAAAGGTCTATTTGCCTCTCTGCCATTGACCCTGTTTGCTGCCGACATTTGGCTCCTTTGAGGGCCATATTCTGTCTTCTATATCGGTTAAAGAGGGGCAGATGATGTGGTCATTTGACGAAGTAAATGACAAATAAATGGTCACATAAGGTGACAAAGCCACGGAGAATCATGCTTAGGCGTGATGAAATACTTGTATTTTTTTGTCTAAAAAGAAAAGAGAAGAGACTTCTTCCGACACGACGACAATGCTCAGTGAAAAAGGTTACAAACACAATCAAATCACCCCCCACCACCACTAATGAGGCACAATGAGTTCCTCTTTTGGAATTTTCTTGGATTGCTTTTCGCTAGGCGTGAATTTTACTGTTGGGGTGTAGGTCCTACACTTAATTCCTCCCTCCCTTTGAACAGCACAGGGAGAGGTGTTTAAGGTAGTGTTTGGATGGATGCTCCTTTCAATATGTACGTTGTCTTGATTAATGCTTAAATAGTCACGTAGTTAAAACAAAATCACTTGGATTATTGTTTCATTTATTTCAATATTGTTGGACTCCCAGGTTGATTTATTCAATATTCTAGTTTTATTCAGCACTCATTATCAATAGGTAGGCTCTTAAAAAATTCAAAGAACACACACATATTGCTTGTGCAAACATGTTAGGAATACAAAATCTTCTTATATTCATTAAAGAAAGCAAAAGCAAAAACAAAAAACAAAAATAAAAAGAATTCTCAATAATCAAATTACTAATGCAAAACACCATATATTAGCAATTTTACCATACTTAAGGAAAAATAAAAAAAAATAAGCAAACGCCTCATCTATCTCAAAACACAATGACAGCAACAAAGCTCTAATCTTAAACTAGTTGTAATCATCTATATAAATTCTTTCACCTCATTTTACATAGTTCATAACCTAACCTGCCTCATTTATGATCAGACATATCCATTTAAAAATATTAACTATCAAATTAAACTTTCCAAGAAAAAATGAAATACAACTTATTGTAACTGTATAAATAAATAAATAAAAGATGTATATATAATAGATGAAGTCTACATTAAAATTTTTCCATACTCGGATGGGTTAGCGAAAAATATTTGTAGCGTTTTAAAAACAGATTAATTCAAAGCAAAATAAGGCATTGGATTTGAAAGTGCGAAAGAGAGAGCATCGACATCCAAACTGCACCTTCCTTCTTTGGTATATAAAAAATTTAAAGCATAACAGAATCAAATAATAAAATATCTAAAGTAACAAACTTCTCATCCAATCAATGACGTGTCTGATCCACTAGCGGTCTATTCCACACTCTCAATCACCATCACCCAAATAGTAACAAGGATACGATTCTCACACAAACCCACACTCACCGTCTGATCAACAATCGCATCCAAAACAAATCACCACCGTTCAAACAAAAACAAGCGAGACCTACGTACCTGAAGCGTATCCGCTTGAGATCATTCCCTCCCCTTGGAAGCGAAACGAAAGTGATGAGAACACCGGGCTCCACTTGGGCCACCCATTCTTTAGGCTCCTTTTCTTCAACGAACACTATTGGCGGGTCGACCCGACGCCCGCTACCGTTAACCGAATTCGGAGTCCCTTCACCACTGGAGCTCGATATTCCCTTCAGCCTCGCCTCCATCTCTTTTCCCCACGTACGCGGTGTAGTCGAGCTCGAGCTTCCCGTCCGCCGTAGCGACCACCTGAATTTCTCCGACTCAGCGTCCGACTCAGTCGAGTTGTTTCTGAGTCGACTCTGAATAGTAGTTGTAGTTGTTGTTGTTGTTGTTGTTGTTGGCGCTGTGCAAGGGTTGCAGTGGCGGTACGCGCCTGATGCCTTTAATGCCATGTCCTTCAACTATAAAAAATAAATTAAAATAAAGTATTATTACACTCAGTTAGAATTTGTAAGAGAGAAGTTATAAGAGCAAGGGTTCTGGATTTTTTTTTTTTTTTTTTTTTTGAGGCACCTGAGAAGTGAGGGATTTGATGGCTTGGTTGTGTTTTGCCGAAGACGGATGATTGGTGGTCGCGACGGCTGAGTCGTCATCGAGTTGACTGAGTGAGTCATCACCGGGTTGTTTAGAACGAGCTATACACGTCAGCATTTTGAATTGTGGTGCAGGCAGGCTCTGTATATCACAAACAGATGCAACAATTTAGAGACATTGTAGAAAATTCGGAAATCAGAGCTTGAGCGTTTTGGACGGAAAAAAAACGGAATCATTCGGCACAAATAAAAACTGCCAAAATTAACAATTCAATCGTTTAAAAAAAAATTATGGAAATCCGTACAGCGTCAGTAAGAAATTAAGAAAGGGAAAATCGGAGAATCAGTTCGTTATGAGTGTGAGTGTGAAAGCAAATCGCGAATAACGAGAGGCCCCTTGAGTCCAGTGCTCATGCAGCGTTTCCTTTAATTGGGCACTTTAAATAACACGATCAGAGATTCTCTGTCAACAACAATAACAATAAAAAAGCTAAAGATTAAAGGAGATTAAAATTCTCGAATAAATAATTGCATGGATTATAAAAATAAAAATACAAAACGAAAAAACCGGAGTAAAATTGATATCACCTTGAATTGATGGTGCAGGAGGAGTGCATTTTTAGCGTGCGTAAGTACGGCAGAGGGAATCTCCAGTTACAAGCGTTGAGCAGAAGAAGAGCCAGAGAGAGAGAGAGAGAGAGAGAGAGAGAGAGGGGGGGAGGCGATCTTTTTGGTTGGTTTGGTATGTTTTGCTATTGTTGGTGGTAGTGACTAAATTGCTAGCATAGTGGAATAGGGAGCAGAAGAGTTCATTGCGGGGAACTGTGCGTTTCTTGAAGTTTTGCTTTCTAATAAATTTGATGCTTAGCCTAGCCTAGCCTAGCCTCAAGCTTAAAGCCTCAAGCCTCAAGCCTCAAGCCTTAACCTTTTATGTTACGCCTGCACGAAAGGAAACGTCTTTAGCTATTAATTGAGAACGTTAGATAAATTCCTAAACTTCTAAAAAATTTTAGAGCATTAAAGAAGCCTCTAAGGCATCCAAAAAAAAAATCTAGACATAACATAAAAAATTTTTCTAATATGTATATATTTAAAATGTTTCATATAAATATATAGTTCTAGATGATTGATTAAAGTCGTTAGATCAAATTGATCTTTAAGCAACCCTTGAGGAGGAGGAGGCATATAAATAAGTGAGGTTTTCGTTTGGTAAAAACATCCAAGAGATCATCAAAGAGGGAGTGATCCAAAAGAAAGAGGATTAAAAAAAAAGTTATAATCCAAAGTTGTAAGCATTTGAGAGTAATACAAAGAGTTTTCTATAATATCACTTTTGTGAGTCTTTCTTGTTTCATAACTTAATACAAGAGAAAGATTAACTTGATTCAATTTAAGAAAGAAGTGAGCCAAATGTCACACGATAAGTTTGGAAAAAAGTCAAGTCCGTGACGGGTAGTATCGAGTGTAGTTAAACTCGATAAGTGATATCAAGCTTAGTCGTAAGCTAAGTATTCAAGAGGTAAGCATGTCTAGCTCGGTATTGACCATAATATTGTGGACACTAAAAAGAAGACTTTAACTCCTCAACCTAAGAAAGGTAGGGAGAAGTCTTGTGACGCAATAATTGCCTTTGAGAATTGTCTCTTAAGGATGGAGCAAAATCTTGTTGACTTTAAAAAGAGAATCGAGGTGATGGAAGGAGACAATGAGGAAGAGACACTAGCCATGAAAGGCTTACATGAGGTGCTTTTTAATCTTCAAATTTGGATAGATTCGGTTACGAGATACGCTAAAAAGAATGGTATTGAAAATGATGCTTTTATCAACTAGACCAAAAAAGTGTTTGTACAATATGAGAAGTTCATAACCAAGTGTGAGCAAACTCTTAAACAACTTAAAAAAGATTGAGTAATTTATAGAGAAGATATATCCAATGGTGTGGTCTTGAAGGTTTGAAGTGTTGAGACCACGACCCTATGTTGGCAAGTAAAATAATATTTTGAGGTAATAGATTTGAATAAGGATAAGAATTATGTCAAGACTCGTTATTCTCTACTTTATAAAAGATATTGCTCTATGGTTACATATGAAAAAGCAAGAGTTAAAAGACAGGAATCATAAAGCTACTTAGATGGGATGAGTTTAAAAAAGTTGTCTATGCTTAATTCTTTCCCAAGAAAATAGGTTGGAAAGCACAGGACAAGCTACAAACCTTGAAACATATGAGAACTATTCATGAGTATATTAGAAAATATGTCTCTCTTAAATTTCAAGTGTATAGCAAACTTGATTATAATCCTTTATTAAAGGATTCCAACCATGGACATGATAAGAGAAGCGAGGTCAATGTACCTAAGATCTTTACCGAAGTTATGACCATAACCGAATCCTTAATAAAGTATAAGAAGAAAATCGAGCCCTCCAAAACCGGAAAGACTTCAAAGGTAAAAGTGAGAGAGTCTAATAGAAGAAAAGTTGTAAAGATAGATATGACAAAATATATAAGTCTAAAGGTTTTGTCAAAGATCAAGGATAAGAGGGAATTCAAGCCTAAGAGTCGTTACTTTTATTATGGGTTACATCAATAGCGAGAGTGCCTAAAGTGGAAAGCTCTTCATGTCATAATGAAAGAAAACGAGTGTGTTATTAAGTATAAAAATAGATGGGGTCATTATTGCTACTCAATGCTCTAAATGTCAAACTCTCACATAAAGTATCGCCAAATGATGAACTAATATATATGGATATGGACATGAATAGCAAGACTGCTTCTGTCCATGTTAAACATAGGTACCACACATAATTTTATAGTTAAGGATGAGGCCAAAAGACTTGTCTTAGTGATGACCAAGTCATTTAACGAGTATAAAGATGGTGAATGCTTCCTCAAACCCTATTAGTTACACATGGCATGAAGGATGAGCCTTGGCATCGATGCATAAAATAGAATGCTAGATTTCATAATTGTTGTAATGGATGACTTAAAGTCGTGTTAGGTATAACGTTTTTCAAATAAACCAAAGTCTTGCTCGGTAATTTTAAAAGAAGAGACCATATACGAGTGTTAGCTAATGTGCATGATAAATTAGATATGAAGCCTATTTCGATCATACAATTGAAGAAAATTGAAGAAAAGCTTCAAAAAAGGAAATCCACCTACTTAAAAACCTTAATGGAGTATAGGCGAGTGAAGAGGATGATACATAGATGCCTAAAAAAATTACTAAGGTATTCCGTTGATAGCAAACTTGTTCAATCAGTCGAAAAAACTCATCTCTCGCACCAAGCTTCACTTAAGATCAAGGTATTATTAGGTTTAGATCATCTGTAGAAGACATGCCAAAGATAACATGTGTGATAAGGTATGGTCCTTATGAGTTTTTTGTTATATTGTTTGGCTTGATGAATGGTCCGGCTACCTTCTACACCTTAATGAATAAAATTTTTCAGCCATATCTAGATCGAGTTCATAGTGGTCTATCTTGATGATATTATAGTTTATAGGTCGACGCTAAAGAAACATTTAGATATCTTACATGCTATGTTCAAGGTACGAAGGGAAAATAAGTAAAAGAAGAAATGTTCATTCTCAAAAAAGAAGTACTCTTTTTAGGACACAAGATTAAGGAAAAAAGGTCGATAGTGGATGTTGCCAAGGTTAAAGCTATCTTAAAATAGAAAGAGCTAACCAAAGTGCTAGAGTTTTGCTCTTTTCTCGAGTTAGTAAATTATTATCATTGTTTTATCCATCACTACTCAAAGAAGATAACCTTTCTTATTAACTTGCTATAGAAGAACAAGACGTGAGAATGGACAAATCAATGTTAAGAAGTTTTTAACAAGCTAAAGAGAACTCGTCATTAAAAAGTCAATATTAAGCTTAATAGCTCTTACTAAATCATAAGAAGTATAGACTGATGCATCTAATTTTGCTATAGGTGGCATGTTAATGCAACAACAACACACTATAGCTTATGAGAGTTAGAAGCTAAATGACACCAAACTATGAAATTTAAAGCAAGATAAATAAATGATAGTAGTTATACATTGCCCATATAATTTGAGGTACTATTTGTTAGGATCTTAATTTGTGGTGAAAACTAATAATATAGCCATGAGTTATTTTTAGACTCGAAGAAGTTAATACGAAGCAAGTTTGATGGCAAGAATTTCTTGTTGAGTTTGACTATGACTTCGAGTATAAATCGGGAAAAACCAATGTACTAGAAGATGATCTCGGTAAAAAGGTTGAGTTGTATCATATGATGCACTTAGTTAGAGAGATTATAGCCTAGGTTAAAAAAAAAGTATGATCCTATCGTTAAGAGTTTGTTGGCTTTTGCCAAAGAGGGTAAAACTTGGAAATTTTAGAAAAATGGTGGCATTCTCTATGCCAAAAGAAAGAGAATCTACATTCTTAAGTAGGGAAACCTATGATGGAACCTAATGAAAGAATGTTATGATTCGATGTGAGTTGGACCTCCAAAACAATAACACACAAATGCATTATTAAAAAGAGCATATTATCGGCTACAATTGCACGATAATATAGAGTTTTATGTTATAACATATCTTATGTGCTTATAGCCTTTACCTATCACGAGAGAGACCATGAGAGATGGTAACTATAGACTATATAGTGGTATTGCCTAAGTTAGATAATTATGAGAGCATTATTATAGTCATGGATTAGTTCTCTAAGTATGTAACATTCATATCGGTCTTAATAGATGTAACGATAAACAACACTATCAAGTTAATCTTCAACTATGTGGTAAAATATTTGGGTGTGCTATGATATATTATTAGTGATCGAGATTCTCAATTCTCTAGAAAGTTATAAACTGAACTTTTTGAATTATTAGGTTCAAAGTTACACTACTCCTCAAGCTTCCACTTGTAGACAGATGGATAGATTGAGTGGGTTATTGTTTGATCGAAGATATATTTGAGGCACTTTGTAAGTGTCAACCAGGTGAGATTAGTCTAAGTTATTAGATGTTGTCCAATTATCTTACAATCTAAGAATAGGCCAGCAACCTCTCACTCTATAGATGGTGGTACTTGGTGACAAGTGCCAAGATAGCAATCCAAGTGATGGCAAGAATAGGTAGATCT